ACTCATTTACATACACGGTGGACAAGAGTAGGTTTACAGTCATGAATATGTGAAACAGTTCATTGTATTATTTTTTATATAAACAACTGTAAAACTACCTCTGCCCATCCTTGTATTGTCTTTGGTAGCTTTCTGACTACAATAGCAAAGTTGAGTAGTTGTGATTTATAGAATGACCTATAATATTTACCATCTAGCTCTTTTATTCTTTAACCGTTATCCGAGGATACACTCTTCATTGATTTTAAAGAGAGGAAGGCAGGGAGGAGTGAGAGAGAAACATCTGTTGTGCCCAGACGGGGGTTGAACCTGCAACCTATGTCCGTGCTGCCCTGATCGGGAATTGAACCCGCAACCTTTTTGTGTACTAGACGGCACTCTAGAAAAAGTCACTTAGGAAAAAGGTGCCTTTTGATTTGAGAGTGTCAAAGTCAGAACAAAGAAAGGAGGTAGAATGGCAAGTAAATTTATTTGCATTGTCTTTGAATGTACCTGGCTTACTGTTTAATACCTACTTGAGTATGAGTCAGAAATACTTCGGTTGGCTCATACATGACTTTGAGAAGAAGATAATCCAAGGGATCATACAGTAACCCATAGTGCTTAAAAAGCTCAGATTTTGGGTGATGAGATTATAAGTGATAGTATTTTAATTTCGTTTAAAACTGTTCACTAGCTCTTACGGTAATAAGCTACAAGTTCTTGTTTGTTTTCATTGTAGTATTTAGGATTTCATTGAAGCTTTAAAAGTAAAGTATCTCAGGGGTAAAAAAGTATTTTTCTGAACCTTTATAAATTTCTTAGGATCATCAGCAGAAGGCTGTTGTGAAATATTAGCTGTTAGTCTTTGTACCTTTTTCTCCCTACAGGGGACATGAAAGGTGAGGTCTATCCGTTTGGCATAGTTGGAATGGCCAACAAAGGGGATTGCCTGCAGAAAGGGGAGAGTGTCAAATTCCAATTGTGTGTCCTGGGCCAAAATGCACAGACTATGGCTTACAACATCACACCTCTGCGTAGGGCCACTGTGGAGTGTGTGAAAGACCAGGTAAGTGGCAGCATCTCTGGATCTGAAATTGATCCTATTATGCGTTGGTAACCAAATAGTAACCAAACCTTGAAATTTTTTCAGCCAACAGAGATTCCATCAAAATTCATCTGGTTTTTATTATAATTCCACTTTACCCTTTTTCAGTAATTTGAGCTAACCTATATAAACATGAATAAGAAGACTACATGAATGGGGGGAAATAGTGATATTGAGCGGGGGAGTATTGATAACTAACATTACATGATGAGGAAAATAAACTTAGAGTGAGGTTGTCAGAATAGAAAGATTTAAAGGTCAGAGATTCTTTTGTAAGCCATGCAAGGAAAGAAACCACGTGTAGAAGTGTTCATAGAATAAGCTTGGGGCAAACAATTTATTCCTGGCACAGATCTCAAGAAAACCCCTCAAAGTCCAGGACATTTAAATATCAGTATTGTAAATAAAGTATTTTGTGTGGTTGATTTTTATAATACTATAACCATGCTTAATTTTGGAAGAGATCAAAACAATGTATATGTTTATGTAACAGCTTACTAAAGATTTTACATTATTCAAAAATTTAGCTCATATCATATATGAAGGCACAGGGCAACCTTTCTATTTGTTTTAGCCAGGCTGTCATAGTCATGGCGGTGAGTTAAGTATTGTATTTCTGCCCTGGTGAGTTTTGCCGATTTATGATGCTGTTCCGGTCTAGCCCCGGCAGCTGACCTGGAGCATCAGTGTTGATACCATGTCTGTAAACGCCTTCTTGTTAGGCTCACCCATTGTGCTGCATTCAAAGGGAGGCACTCTGCCCCTGTGATGCGAGTTTTTGTTTTTAAATTTCAGTTTGGCTTCATTAACTATGAAGTAGGGGATAGCAAGAAGCTCTTTTTCCATGTGAAAGAAGTTCAGGATGGCATTGAGCTACAGGCTGGAGATGAGGTGGAATTCTCAGTGATTCTTAATCAGCGCACCGGCAAGTGCAGCGCTTGTAACGTTTGGCGAGTCTGGTGAGTGTTTGTTGTTGGTTTAACAACCTCCCTGGTCAACTTGCAATCTCTGCATTATCCCATTTCTTCACCTTTCTATCTGCTTTTCTTAATTCTCTTTCACTTTGTCTCAATTTCTTGGTACTTTGTATCTTTTACCTCTAGTCTTCATTGTGTAAACTTTTAGTTTCATAAATCTGGCCCAGTGGAATATTAATTAGACACTTGCTAGATAATAAATCTTAATATAAAATGATGATGTATGTATGCCCTAACCAGTTTGGCTCAGTGGATAGAGTGTCAGCCTGTAGACTGAAGGGTCCCAGGTTCTATTCCGGTCAAGGGCATGTACCTTGGTTGCGGGCACATCCCCCATAGGGGGTGTGTAGGAGGCAACTGATCGATGTTTCTAACTCTATCCATCTCCCTTCCTATCTGTAAAAAATCAATAAAATATATTAGGAAATAAAAATAAAATGAAGATGTAGTCCTTGTTCTTAAAGGATTCTGCTTAGCTTTTTGTTTTTTGTTTTTCCATTAAGCCATTTCTGGGTTATACGGTGCTTAAAAGTCTAATTTTATAGATTAGCAGTTCAGGCTCTGTTTTTTGTTTTTGTTTTTTTTGTTGTTTTGTGTGTGTGTGTGTGTGTGTGTGTGTGGTTGCCTGTTTATTTTTTAATAACATTGTTACCATGCTAGAAGCTGGGAGTCTGGAAATATTTCATTATATATAACTCTTCTAAGGTTTTTCACATCCACTACCTTGTTTTATGTCTGCAAAACTGGTCTTTCTGGAAGCGGACCAGTCTAGGGATGACCGTCACCCAAATGATTCTTCCAGCTCTTCTGCAGGAATAAATCTTGCGTTGGGAATAAAAACATAAACAAACTTGTCTGTCCTGTCTTGCTAGCTAGCTAGCTAAATGAGGCAAGAGTTCCCCCTCATTAAAACTGAGTCACTTGGGTAGCTAGGTGGGAAATGCACTCTTAGTACTTGTTTCTTCCCACCACGTGCTGCTGCTTCTCACTTCTTGACTTGCTTATAGCGAGGGCCCCAAGGCCGTTGCAGCTCCAAGACCTGATAGGTTGGTCAATCGCTTGAAGAACATCACTCTGGACGATGCCAGTGCTCCTCGCCTAATGGTTCTCCGCCAGCCAAGGGGACCAGACAACTCAATGGTATGAGGAGGGTGTACGGGGTTTGGGGGGAGGGAAGGTTGTGATGTGACAGACCAGTATGATAGTTGAGGTCCTTTTGGAGCATATCTCAGAGCGCTTACGGAGCGTTAGTATTGCTTATAACTAGTTAGGACCCCTTCCCTACATATTGGTTCAGTCCCCAACATAATGGTTGCTTACCAGTAAGAAGCACGTTTCTTTGTTTTCCTGATACTTTGAACATAGTTGTAGGAGGGCTTACTATGTAAGATTTCCTCTGGGAAAAAGCTGGTAGTGGTTAAGATGATTAAAAGTAATGCTTTGGTTCACAGTCACTTTGGGATTGTGAATGCTGTGACTGTCATACTCTCAGGTCATTAACTGCTATTTTATTTCTCACAGGGATTTGGTGTGGAAAGAAAGATCCGTCAGGCTGGTGTCATTGACTAACCACATCCACAAAGCACACCATTCATCCACGATGATCAAGTTGGGGGGATTCTGGTGAAGGGTTCTGAATATCTCCCTCTTCATCCCTCCCCAAAATCTGGAATACTTATTCTATTGAGCTATTACACCAGTTTTAACACCTTCCTCATGTTATGTTTAAAAAAAATAAATAAATTTAAGAAAACCATTTTAAAATTATGCACAGTTGCAGCCTGGAAAACTTAAGGTGGCGCCTTGTAGTATCAATTTTAGGAGCTTTATTTGGTGCATTTAACGCAACTGGTAATTGCAAAATCTACTTCGCCCGTGTAAGTGAACAATATAGACTGTTACCTTGTTGGCTGTAAGAAATTCTGCACTTGATATTTAGCATATATTCTACCTTCATTACTTCTGGCAAGATGTCCTGCCTTAGCACTCAGTTGCATTCTTTTCCTTTTCTTTCCTGTTCATTATGCTTTAATTCTGAGGACCATATGAGGGTAGACTATATTTAAAAAATTTAAAAATTTGTATAGGCAAATGATTTTCTTAAGTTGATGGCCAAATGTTCAAATGTTATTTTTCATATCATTTATAATCTTGTCACAGTCCACTTAAACGAATTTTGGGTAGATTTCAATGAAAATTATCTTCCAAAGTAGTTTTTTTTTTTCCCCTGGGATGGGGTGGGGGGTTAATTTACCACAATTAGTATGTATGGTGCAGAATTTCATGCAAATGAGGTGTGCCAGCAGTGTGATAATTTAAACGTATTTAAACGACGAATGCACAAACTTGCTGCTGCTTAGATCACTGCAGCTTCTAGGACCCAGTTTCTTTTACTGATTTAAAACAAAACAAACAAAAAAATAAAAAAAATTGTGCCTGAAACGAATCTTGGTTTTTTTTGTAAGTAGCCGCCTGGTTCCTGTGTCCTGTCACATGCAGGCACTTGATCCTTGGTGTAGCTTCTGTTCAACTTTTTATCACGGGAACGGATTGGTCTGACTGCTTGGCCCTCATCTTGAATTGGCCACTCGCAGGGCCCCTGGCCGGTGTACGGAAAGCTTTGTCTAAGGTGACAAGGGTCAGCTCAGGGGATGGGGGAGGGCGCTTTATCTTCCCCGTTGTCATTGAGGTTCTGATCTCCTCTGGGTAAAGAGGCCATTTATCTTTGTAAACACACAACACTTGCTTTCTCCGGTTTTCTGTTAATGGCGAAAGAATGGAAGCGAATAAAGTTTTACTGATTTTTGAGACACCAGCACCCAGCGCTTTCATTATTGCAGTGTCCGGCGGGGCGGGGCGGGGCGGGCGGGCGGGGCGCGGCCAGCAGCCGGAGGCCACGTGGCCGGGGCGGGGCCTCGGGCGCCTGGGGCGCCGGCTGATGACGTAGCGGGCGGGGCCGGAAGTGCCGCTCCCTGGTGGGGGCTGTTCATGGCGGTTCCGGGGTCTCCAGCATTTCTCTCGGCGGCGATTCCGATTCCGAGCCCGTGCGCAGCGGAGGCGCCGGGGCTGGAGGTGAGGCCGGCGCAGGCGGCTGGGCCGGGCGCTGAGGCGGCTGGTTCCGGGCGGAAGCGGGCGGGAGACAAAGGCCCGGGCGGGGGTCCTGTCGGAGCCCCCGGGGAGCCCCCCGGAGCCGGCAGGGAGGCAGGAAGGGGTGCCGAGGAGCCGGGCGGGCGGGGAGGCTCCTTCACCGAGGGCCGAGGGCGGCGGGCGGACACACAGGCGGAGGTGGGGCGGCGGCGAGGGGACTGACCCGGCACCGGAGCCCGTCGGCGCGCGTCCCTGAGCCCCGGGAGCCAGGGCGCCGGCGCCCCTCCGGCTCCGGTCCGGCCGCTGTTGCTGAGAGAAAGGGCTGAGGTGCCGGGGGCGGCGCCGTTCACCTCCGCTGCTCCCTCCCGCAGGTCCTCGCTGTGCAATGACCGAGTACAAACTGGTGGTGGTCGGAGCAGGCGGAGTGGGGAAGAGCGCGCTGACCATCCAGCTCATCCAGAACCACTTTGTGGACGAATATGATCCCACCATCGAGGTGAGGCGGCGCAGGCCCTGCCCCGTCCCTTCCTTCCGGTCACCTCGCCCTCACCCTCCAGCGAAGGGACAGCGAGGGAGAAAGGGGGAGGTTACTGAGGGGACTGCGTCCAGGAAAACGGCAAGGAAAGCTTTCCATGTCTGTGGAGAAGAGTTCGTTTTTATGAGCTGCTGAAGATTTTCTAAAAAGTTACAGCTTTAACATGTCCGTAAACTTGAAAGCTCATTTGCGAGAGTTGAACTCATTTAGATTCTTCTTATGTGACAACTCTATATTCTTATTTAATATTTTACTTTTTTTTTTTTTCACAGAGAGAAAGGGAGAGGGATAGAGAGTTAGAAACATCTATGAGAGAGAAACATCAATCAGCTGCCTCCTGCACACCCCCACCGGGGATGTGCCCGCAACCAAGGTACATGCCCTTGACCAGAATCGAACCCGGGACCCTTCAGTCTGCGGGCTGATGCTCTATCCACTGAGCCAAACTGGCCAGGGCAACAACTCTATTTTAAAAGCAGCACAGGCCATAGGTAGAGCGACTAACTGAATAATATAGATCAAGGATTCAGAGATCTGGTTGTTCTGCAATTTTAATTTTTTAGCTCATTGAAGCAGCCAAGACTGCGGGTTGGAGTAGAAAGAACATTTTGAGTCACTGTGCTTAGGATTTCAGTCCCTGTTTGCATTTTGTTTAGTTATGTGATAATGAGCAAATCACTTCCTCTCCCTCAGCCTCATTTTCTTCATCTGTTAAATTACTGTAAGCTTGTCCTGTCTACCACACAGAGATGAAGTGAAAAGTCAAATGTGTTTGAATTTTTTGTGAATGGTAAAGCACTGGATAAATAGTACTTACTTAAAGAGCCTGTTGTTTTTGTGGCAGTTCACGTTAAAGATTGTCTTCCATGAGTGGCAAAATAAACCCTTTCAGTGAAGGGCCTTGTAATTTTATTCGATTTAGAAATGTGTAACTCAAGAGATTATTGTATTTTTTTTTAATTTATTTATTTATTAATTTTTTACATATTTTGAGATTATTGTATTTTAATCCACACCTGGTCTTCCTACCACTCAGGCACTGGGTGTTGAATGCAAGCTAACTTTAATGTAGCCTTATTAAAAATTATTCATGAGTTCTTTGCAGAACTTTATTTTAGGCTTAACAGCGTCAGTGTTAATAGTAAGAACCTTTTAATATTTTTCAGAGCTTTAGTTATTGCTGGGTAACTTACATAGAGTAAAATACATAAATGTTATATCTACAACCCAGTGACTTTTTAAACATGTCTATACTTACATAATAACCGCCACTCAGATTGAAAAATATACTATTTCCTATGCCCCAGGGAGCTCTCAATGCCCTTTGCGGTCAGTGAACTCTCTTACCCCCCAGGCGATAACCCCTTCCCTGACTTCTGTTATCAGAGAATAGTTTGACTGAAACCTATCTTCATAATTTTTGTCTTGTTCATCTTAGAACAGACACTTCACTATGTTCATGCACTAAGAAATTTTGGTGATGGAAATTTTATTTAATTTGAAAGTACAGTCCTGCAATAAAGTGAGGTACAGAGGAACTAGCTAATGAATGGGCTGGGAAATGAGGTTGAATTGTTTTTTCTCTGCCTTCGAGCCCAATTGAAAGTATGTTTTTATATGATCTATTTAAGGAATGAATTATATCTCTATCTTGTTTGTAACCTTTAGGAAATTGATTGAGGATTATTTCCCAAAGGTACAATATGTCATGATGAGAAAAAATAATTTGGTATATGACCTTGTTTGAAATAAAAACTTTTGTGTTTAGTCATAAACACACGAGGCACTGTGACCAGGCCAAGTTATAAATTGGTGGAGGTATGTTTAGAATTTTAAATGTACAATAAACAACTCAAATAAGAAATGTTCAGTGCACACCTTTGTGAAATGCGCTGTGATTAACACTAGTTCAGCGGTCGGCAAACCCATCAGTCCACAGAGCCAAATATCAACAGTACAACGATTGAAATTTCTTTGGAGAGCCAAATTTTTTTAAACTTAAACTTCTTCTAACTCTACTTCTTCAACATAGACTCGCCCAGGCCGTGTGTTTTGTGGAAGAGCCGCACTCAAGGGGCCAAAGAGCCGCATGTGCCTCGCGAGCCGCGGTTTGCTGACCACGCCCTAGTCTAACTGCAGGAGAGCTGCCTTTGGAATGACCACATTTGTTCACCTTTCCCAGCCACTGAGCGTTCACATTTTCCTTTCTGCAGGCTGACAGGATCTGGAAGACACCAACAAGTGTTTTGTTGGTGATTGCATATTAGCAGTTTGAGGGACAGACCAGAGAGAGAATGGACTTGGGCAGGAGCTTTTTTAACCTTGGCGGTGGCATTGCATTTCCTGTGATTTTTAGTAAAAGTAGAATCTCCCTCTCCCCCTCCCCCCAGGATTCTTACCGAAAGCAGGTGGTGATTGACGGTGAGACCTGCCTGCTGGACATCCTGGACACGGCTGGGCAAGAGGAGTACAGCGCCATGCGGGACCAGTACATGAGGACCGGGGAGGGCTTCCTCTGTGTGTTCGCCATCAACAACAGCAAGTCGTTTGCAGACATTAACCTCTACAGGTGCGAGGAGCGTTGTTTGTTTATTTCTTTTCTGAAGGGATAATCTCTAAGCTTTGTTATGAAGCTTTGTGGGGGGGGGGGGGGTTTGTGTGTGAGGATGCCACACTAGGAAAGATGCAGCTTTTTTCATTGCAAGAAGAGTTGGTTTTCGTTTGTTTGACATTGAGAATCTAGGGTTATTGCTGCAAGTTCATGCTGGAATTTATGTTATGTTATTCTATGCCGTGGCTACAATGTGTGATAGTGCATCAGGGAAGCTTGCTAGTGGGAGTGATTCCAAACCAGAGGTGTTAGTCAGTCACAGAGGAATTTCAGAGAGGAAGATGCCTGAGAAACATTGTTCAGGAAGTAACAGAGATCATGAAAGGAAGAAAAAAGATGGGCAGAAGCTAAGAGGAAAGCTGGGGCAAAGGTGTGTAAAGATTGTCTTTCTCTGTAAAACCATCAAGTTTCAAAGCTCAATTGGACCATAAAAATGAAAACAACATTCTGATTTTACAGAATCAGAAATAGGGTTCAGAAGGTAGTTTAGTAGGTTTTTGGAATCTTGACTGTTGCTAGTAGCAGAGCCAGGAACAAAAAACTCTTAAGGCGCCTTTTCTTAGCTCCATGTTATTAATTTAAAAAAAAAAAATTATTTTTTTTGTATTTTGTTTTTTATTGATTTCAGAGACAGGGAGAGAGAGAGATAGAAACATTGACGAGAGAGACACATTGATTGGCTACGTCCTGCGCACCCCCCACTGGGATGGAGCCCTCAACCCAGGCATGTGCCCTGACCTGGAATCAAACCGGGACCTCTTGGTTCATGGGTGGACACTCAACCACTGAGCCACCCCAGCTGGGCACTCCATATTCTTTAAGCAGAATTATGTAATGGTTAAGAATATAGATGCCTGGGTTGAAACTTGGCTCCATCATCTATTAGCCATGAGACTTTGGGGCAAACTACTAAATCTCTGTGCCTCGATTTCCTTACCTATAATATGGAATTATTATATCTGCAAGAGTTGTGAAAATTGAATGAATGAATAAACATTAAATCATTCAGAACAGTGCTGCACACATAGGAAAGCCTGTACAAGTGTCCTGGCTTCTGCCCTGTCTGTGAAGAAGTCTGCTCACGGAAACACACTAGTTCCAAACCGAGTTCAGGGCTTCTTTCTCCTAACCCTGCTCCCCTGTCTTCCACTTCCTCTGGAAATAATAGCGGTACCTAACAAGCACCTATATTGGCTGAATTTCCAGAAGTTATTTTTCTTTTTAGGCTGTCTTATAGTATCCCTCAGCATAGGGGTCAGTTGGGAATTCCAGAACCTTTCCTAAGAGCAGTCTGGTGTTTTCTATAATATCTTGACTCCCAGCTATAGTTTTGTTGGAGGGAAATATCTGGACACCACCCATTTAGAGAAAAGGGGAGACTGTCTTCCATCAAATACCATCACTCTCAAGGAAACCTTAAGAAGTTAATAAGAGGCAGTGAACTTGACTTTGTGCACTTTGGACCGTAATCTAGAATGCAATTCGGAGTTGCCGGTTAAATCTAGAGCCAAGCTCCGGAGAATCAAGGAGCCTAATACAGACATGTCGACGTAGACTAACCATCCATTCCCACTAGAAGTGGAACTGGCACTTGACTTTCCTGTGGCTGCTGAATCAAGCCTAAACCAGTCTCTTTATGTAAGGTCTTTTATAAATAGGAGGGAGTCCGGGGAGTGAAACTCACTACTAGAAGCTGTAGACTGGATAAAAGTGAAACTTCACTACTAGAAGCTAGTAGGCTAGATAACACTTGTTAGGTTTCTTTTGCTCTAGCTGTTCATCTCTTCCAAAGGCTTATTCTGACAACATATTCCTTTTTTTCAGGGAACAGATTAAGCGAGTGAAGGACTCCGATGATGTTCCAATGGTGCTCGTGGGAAACAAGTGTGACTTACCAACAAGGACGGTGGACACAAAACAAGCCCATGAACTGGCCAAGAGTTACGGGATTCCATTCATCGAGACCTCAGCCAAGACCAGACAGGTAGAGCACAGCTTCCAGCTCCGGGCAAGGGTTTGCTGAAGTTAGAAAAGTTGGATTGATGGACTGTTTGCTAGAGAAGTGATCCACATTCTTTGTTGTTACAGATTTTATTTTTTAAAATATATTTTACTAATTTTTTCAGAAAGGAAGGGAGAGGGATAGAGAGTTAAAAACATTGATGAGAGAGAAACATCTATCAGCTGCCTCCTGCACACCCCCTACTGGGGATATGCCCGCAACCAAGGTACATGCCCTTGACCAGAATCGAACCTGGGACCCTTGAGTCTGCAGCCCGACGCTCTATCCACTGAGCCAAACCGGTTAGGGCTGTTACAGATTTTTAATAGTGTTCTATTTTCATCTTCGCTTTAAACCCAAAATGAACTTGTTAGTATCCCGGTGTGACATTTATACTCCTACATTTTAACTTGCACACATAGCACTAAAATGAAGACCTTTGATTAAAGATATTCATAAGCATTCGTCTTTTCTCCTGCAACACCAGCCGCTGTTTAGGGTTTAAGTTCTTCTGAATGGTATCTTTACATGCTATTTTTGCAAAATGTGCCATTTGTATATCAGCCTCTTAATGTGATTCAGTAGAAATGCTAAGTTCAGTGTCCTCTTCCTACGCCATCCTATTTTATCAGCTTACGATTTAATAATTGGAATTCTAAATTCACATAAAGCAGTGAGAGAGCTCACATCTTGGATTGGGTCTTTTAGGCTGTCTTTTCGTTTTCTCTTACAGGGTGTTGAAGATGCCTTTTACACACTGGTGAGAGAAATCCGTCAGTACCGGATGAAAAAACTCAACAGCAGCGATGACGGGACCCAAGGCTGCATGGGGCTGCCCTGTGCGGTGATGTAACAAGGTGAGCACGTGGGCTCAGGGCAGAATGACACACCGAGCGGTGGGGAGGAGTGTTGTTATTATTTCTTATGTCATCATATACCTGCTAATTTCTCACAGCTAGAAAATGTTTTCCTTCGATGCCCTTCCTGAGAGTATTGAGGTTTAACCTGTTTTTTAAACATTATTTTACAGACATGGTTCCGTTGTCAATAATGTTAAAAATTAGAAGACATTATTTATGAAATGTAGAATACCACATTCTTGGCACTGACCAGGAGTTTGAGGAATCACTACATTAAAACTAGATGATAATGACTCGGTGTGTCTTCTTTTCTTATAGATACTTGGAAAGTTCTAGCATCAGAAAAGAGCCGCTGTCCAGGTAGGACACGTTTGGAATAGCTTGTCATTCATACTGATGTCTTCACCTTGTGTTTCTTGCACTCTCTGGTGACATTTACACGTCCCGTCTCATTTCAGCTGCACTGACGCCCTGGTCCTGACTTCCTGGAGGAGAAACCAGTATTCCTGTTGCCGTCTCAGTCTCAGAGAAGCTCTGCTCTTCCCGCCTCTCCCTAGATCAGTACCACGTTCTCCCTCCGAGATCTCAGAGTAACTACCTCCTTCCTCGGTTGTCTGGCCAGAGAAGCGAACCTCTTGTTACTCCCCAATGTTTTCCACTCTGGGTTCTCCCCAGACACTTCTGCCACCCCAGGTTTTACATCTGAAAAGCAACTCATGCTCTGAAACAGAACCAAACCGTAAACATGAAATTCTCTAGAAAACAAGGTCTTGAGCTCTAATGTAGCAACTGCTGGTGATTATCTTTTTTTCTTTTTACTCTTGAACTTGGAACTCTATTGCTTTTGGGGGGAAATGTCAGAAATTTCTGTTTTGCTGAGATTATAGTTAATGTGGGTGTTTGGTTTGTTTATAATGTTATCGGCTATACTCTATAAACTGGCATCTGCTCTGTATTCGTAAAAACAAAGGTGAATACAGACTTTGGAGTCTCTCCTCCTCTTCTCGACTTTCATGCAGTTAAATTTAACTTTCACAATGAAGTGCCTTTTTCCTAGAAATGGTTTGTATACTTCAGTGGAGTGGATGTTTCAAAAACCATTACACGTGCAAATGAATGTCTGAGTTATGTCTGTGAACTGCCTGCCTTTGAGGAAAAGATGTGCCGATACAGTAGCAGATGCCACTTTGTAACCTACATGAAGTTGGCTTTGACCTGTTTTTAGGTTCTCCCAAGAGAAAGATGAAACTGGAAACAATTATATTTCACTTGTTTTTTACCTGTGCTCCACTTTTTTTTTGTAGGTTACTAACTATGAAATGTGTGTAATTTGTTTCTTCTAGCTTACTGATAACCTGATGTTCAATGAAATTCCGTTTGTATTTAAATCTGGGCTCTATCAGAAAGCTCTACATTTGCAGATGTGCAAAATTGTAAACATTTGATGCTGTTTTATTTAATATTGTGAGCAATGATTTTCAAGCCTCAGACATAATATATTAACAGACACGTTTTCAGTACATAGCTTGGTATCTTAGTGATGTATAGAACGGCCCTCGGTCACCTTTCACCCCACCCTCCGACCCTCACCCACAGCGACTGCAGTTTGAGTCATTATTTCAGTTGAGTAAAGATGGTGCTAAATGGACCAGGGTCCCCGCTTCAAACCTGAGCAAGCCCGTTAGCATCACAGAGGGGGCAGCGCTTCCACGTCTGCTCCCGGCACCAGTAACCCCGGCTGGTGGGTGGCCGAATGCATGCTCTCACCCTGCAGGGCACTCAGAGGTCAGGTCACCCAAGCCCTTTCTCATGATGGGAAAGGCTGGGTACCCCGAGGAGGGTCAGCTCAGCAGTCTTCATAAACAGAGTGTCCAGACTCTTAGCCACCTGAGACCAAAGGAAGCCAATGTTTTTTGTCATTATGTTTTTAGAATGAGGGTACCTCCGATCCACATGTTTTAAAATTCCCTTTAAAATTTTAGAGTTTTAGATGCGGTGTTGATGAGTTAGTCTGCATAGGAGCTAACAGAAGCTGAGTGCTCAGAGCAAGAAGCCATTGAATTAGAATTCCTTTAAGAACGGATGGAAACATAATGAATTGTTAGTTTTGAGGATTTGGGAAACGTGGCTTTTCCATTTGCAAATATCTTGGTAATTCTAATGAAAAATAGACTTAGGTAACTTGATAAAAAGCCTAGTTCCCAAATGGTCACTTTCCGCTCTGGTCTTTCAATATGTAAGTACTTACTGAGGTCCTCGGTCTTCTAACATGAATTTTCACGTATTAAGCAAACTCCACATGGCCTTGAACTGACGTGGACGAGAGGAAGAGCTGCACTGTGTCCAGAGCTGAATGAGCTCAGCGAGCCGTGCTCCTCGGGCTCCTGAGTTCCACAGCGCGGTGGCACCTGGTAGCAGGAACTTGCTGCTGCTGTAGAGCGTTGCTCTGTCATTTTTCTTTTTCTGACATTTGTTTATTGATTTCAGAGAGGAAGGGAGAGTGAGGGGGAGAGAGAAACATCAATGATGAGAGAAGATCAGTTGGCTGCCTCCTGTAAGTCCCTTACTTGGGACCGAGCCAAACCCCAGGCATGTGCCCTGACTGGGAATTGAACTGTGACTTCTTGGTTCATAGGTCAAGGCTCAACCACTGGCCAGACAGGCACTTTGTCATTTTTCTTGAGGCTGGACTGAGGCTTGTCACCCTCTTCTTCCTCTTGTGTATGTTACTGACAGTATGATTCTTTTTCTAATGTCACTTTAGGGGGAAGGATATCAGATTGGGGGTGCTCGTACCCATAGCCCTTGTATGTTCCTTACCATTCTCAAGTATGTTGTAAGCACAGAAGTCTCTAGATGAGGCCAAAATCCAGACTTGAAAATATTCTTTTAATAGCTTCTTAAGTTACATTTAGGTTTGAATTTTGGCCCAGTAGAGTGACAAAGTTACAGTTCAATGCTGAAAAGCTTCAGTTAGTGTGGTACAAAGTGTGGTGTTCAGAGTATGTTTGTCATTGCTGAAAACAATTCTAATTTACCTCAACATATGAAAGTCTCTCTCCCCAAGTTAAGTGCCTGGCCAGCTGTTGCAAATTACACATTACTTTGTTTTTTAAAGGTTGCATGTTCAAGAGTGTGAAATAGGATGTTCTGTCTCAAGGCTACCACGCCTGACCTGTTAAGTGCTGTATTTGCTCCACAGCTCACTGTAGAACGTTAAGTGGTAATACAGTAACATACTTGTTACAGTTCTCACTTTAGAGTGAAATGGTAAAATTGTTCTCAGTATGTATTTTAGTGGGCCCCGTGTTTAGTCTGTGCATCGTCCTTTAACCTGCTGTGAATTTTTTGTCTTGACTTGAAACCAAGAATAGAGAAACACTTTAAAGAGCTATTTTGTTTTTTTCCCCCATTCCAGAATTGTTGAGCATAATCCTATTCTGTTTTACAGTTACAGTCATGAACTCTTAAGCTGGCAGCTACAACAAAGAACCAAAAAAAATGGTGCACTCTGCTTCTTGTAATTCATCTCTGCTAACAGGTTACAGGAAACAGGATTATTCATTCGGGGAAATGTTTTATTTGGGTTGTTTTCATAAACAAGGGACTGTAACTTTGTGCGTTGTTTGACATCTTTGCTGTTTCTTGAAGCAGCCACAATGATTGGAAGGTGTTCCCTATAGAATTGTTTGAAAAGTATTGTCATTAAAGTAGTTGTTGTTGTTTCATGAATAACTGGTGATTTTTAAAAGCCTGAGTACTGACCTAAAGCAACTGTGTGACTTCTACTCTGGAGGGAAGGGATCGCAATGGATGTTGTGTGACGTCTATATTTCTGTGCCATCAGATAGAGGTCAGTGATTGTGCAATCCTGCTGTGTAAACGGCAACTCTTGGCCTCCGTGGCCCTAAATGAAAGGGCTGATGTTTTCAGTTGCCTATTTTATTGTAAATTAATCCATCTAATTTTTAAAAGTTTGGTTGAATGTGTTTCTTTTCAAATGTTTAAAAAATAAAAACTGGAAGTTCTTTGCTCAGTTATCACTCCCCCCCCCCCCCACTGAGTCCTTTATTGAAAGTTAATATTCATTTCAAACTTTGTAACGTGATGGTGTTGGAAGACCTCAATATAAAACGGCAAAGCCTGCTCTAGGTGATTCCTTTGAGGTGATTCATAGACAAACGATTCATAGCTGTCATGTCCCATTCTCCCGCATGAAGTGCTTAAAACCCCCACTGCATTCCTGCGTAGCCTACCGATCTGGGTATGTTGGAAGAGCATTGGTCTGGGAGCCAGAAAGCATGGGTTCCAGCTATAATTTTCTCTTTTCCAGCCTATAGTGTCCTCACTTACAAATAGGGGAGTTGAATGAGGGTATCTCAGATTTCCCAGCCCTCATTAATGAGACACGTTTCTAAAAGAATACTGTCTGACTTCAGCTTCTCCACCTAACTCTGAGCACTGATTATCGGTACCTTGGCTTATTCCACCAAAGACTTCAACTTATTTTATTTCCTTAAAAGAGGAAGAGGGAGGTGATAGTTACTATGTGGCTGAATTGAACTTAAGGAAACCAAATGTAAGTGACAATACAGTTTCCACAGGAGGCTGCCGTGAAGAGTATAAAATGCTGGTGAGAAAGAAGCAATCATCGACTTTGAATATTTAGAACAGATTTTCCCCTTAAATCCAGCACTTGATGCTACATAGCAGATATTTTTTGCCAATATTTGACCCCCAGTATCTGAGAAAGAAAAGGTGGTTTTCTTCTTATAAGCGCTGCTCTTGTGCTCAGCAAAATGAAGCTGGAGCCCTGGCTGGTTTGCTCAGTGGCTAGAGCGTTGGCCTGAGGGCTGAAGGGTCCCAGGTTCGATTCTGGTCAAGGGCCTGCGCCTCGGTTGCAGTCTGCTCCCTGGTTGGGGCTTGTGTAGGAGGCAACCAATCGATTTTCTCTCACATGGATGTTTCTCTGTCTTTCCCTCTCTCCCCCACTTTCTCCGAAAGGCAGTGAGAAAAATATCTTCGAGTGAGGATTACCGAAATGAAGCTGCAGAGAGACATGAAAAAGTAGCTAAGAAGCTTGTTTATTTGGAATGTGAGGGGACCTCCTGTGTGTCTGTACTATTAATACTGGTTTCTGTTCTCATCACAAGCAATACTGAAGGTCTTGAAAAGGCCAGCATAGTTGCGTCGTCATTTGATCTCCATAAATACATGGAGGGGCGCCAGAGGCTGTGCGGGGATCATTTGCAGAGCTGCTGAGTGATCCCGTTCCATGGCTGGAGAGCACAGAGAGATCCAGAACCCAATGGGAGGGGTGCTGGCGGTGCTTTAACTAACCCTGGCAATGGATGTGGTCCTCACCGCAATAAAAGCAGACAGGACTCTAGGGACATCCGAATGCAGGTACTGATCCCCTTCGCAGTGCCAACAGGAACACAAGTTTAAGGTTCATGAGCTGGAAGTAGACCTAGTGAACTGATCATTCTTGGAGACCGTCCTCATGGCTTCACGCTTGCACCAAAACAGTGTATGTGTTAACTTCCCGGAGGGGCTTAAACCCTGCGTAACTACAGATCACCGTGAACTTACAGGAGGCGTATAAAGAGCAAGCACCTGCTGTCCTGGGGGCTCATAGCAAATGTTCTAAAGATAGAGGCAGCGGCATGCCCAGGGGAGGGCGTGATTGGAACTGAGCAGGTGCCTATCGGGTCTTTCAGACGGCGGGGCCTGAAATACGATCCAGGTTAGGAAAGCATCTTCTAGAATGCTGCTGTGGAAGCAATAAAACTGCACTGACGACACATTCTGTCGGAGCTTGACATAAATGAATTACATCGATATTTAGGTCTGAAAGAGAACCTACATGTTATTTTAAAACATCTTAAAAATAAATCAGTCCTGGCCGGTTTGGCTCAACGGATAGAGCGTCAGCCTGTGGGCTGAAAGGTCCCCGTTCGATTCCAGCCAAGGGCATGTGCCCAGGTTGCGGGCTCGATCCCCAGTAGTGGAGCATGCAGGAGACAGCCGATCAATGCTTCTCTCTCATTATTGATGTTTCTCTCTCTCCCTCTCCCTCTCTTAAATAAATAAAAGTATATTTTTAAAAAAAGAAATGCATCAGTTCACATTTACAACCGAGACCCGACACCCCTGAAGTGAATGGTGGGGTTTTTTTAAGGAGTGGAATGAAGTTGAATCCATTTTGAAAGTTGGGTAAAGGAATCTCAGTATATGCTTGCTTTATAAATTTGAGGGGCTTGACGATATTACAGTCGGAAATGGAACTCGAACGTGGCACGTGAACTGAGATGACCAAGGCCTGGGCCCCTCGCCCCACCTTCTGGAGCTGCTGATCTGACATTCGGATCTCGCTGGGAGGCACAGGCACAGGCCCCAACAAAATGTGCTTGTTTCACGGGCTCAGGGAATGTTCCTGATGCCCTTCTTCCCGATTCCTGTAGCAGTTTCACTGAGCACCTACCACCCGCCCTGGCAGCGCTGCTCTGGCAGACACAGTGAGCCAGGCAGCCCGTGGTTCCTCGTTCACTTTTATATCCCATGAAGGCATCTCTGAAACAACATTTCTTAGTTGCAATCTGGTGATTGTGTCAAGGGAAAGGACACTGTTCACTCTGAGACATAACTTATTTAACCCCAGTGTTCCCACCTCCCAAGGGTCGCCTCCTTCCCGATTTTTCTGAGAATTCTCAAGGCTCCCCACCACGCACCAGGACCTCACTCTGGCCTCATTGCCATCTCGTCTCTGCTTTTCAAGGCAAGTCTCTGTGGAAACAGGAATGATCTATTGGCTTTGCGATTTCAAAGTGCTCAGAGACCTCACCTCATGTAATCCCCCACAACATAAAACAGGAATGGTCTCCGTTTACTGGTGAGAAACTGAACCCACTGCGGATAGATGTATTTATCTCACATTTGAACCCAGGTCTTCTGATTTCACATGTCATGCTCTTTTTGCTTCCCTAGTTTTCAATCCATGCTGCTCAAAGCCCCTGGAGTGTCGTCAGGGAGATGTTTGAGGAAGTCTGGGGGGGGGGGTGGGGGGGTGGGGACTCTGCTCTTCCTCCCCAGCCCCCTCTTCCACAGAAACAGCTCCATTTCCATCACTGAGGCTTCCACTCCAGATGGAGTTGGAAGATTTCATAAGTGGACGTTGAAGCACCCTTGACTTCACCCATCTACCTCTGCAACCATCCATCAAGCTGGGAGGCACTGTACCGCCTCCTCATGTCGCACAATGATGGTTCATGCACAACTAGCCAAAGTGAGGCAGCTCGTGGCACAGCGGGGGCCGCAGAGCCTGGGCTGAAACCCCCGCTGCCACCTCCTGGCTGTGAGACCGCGGGCACATCAATTTCTTTTTTAATATGTTTGGATTTTTTAAATTGATTTTTTTTTTTAGAGAGAGAGGAAGAGAGAGGGATAGATAGAAACATCAATGAGAGAGGAACATCAATAATCTGCTGCTCCTGCACGCCCCGCACTGGGATCAAGCCTGCAACCCCGCATGTGCCTGACCGGGAAACCGTGACCTCTTGGTTCCTGGGGCAACATTGAACCACTGAGCCAGACAGGCCGGGCACAAATTAATTTCTTGTTCCTGAATTTCTTCAGCTGTCACATGAAAATAACAGTGCCTCAATGTCTATAATAATATAATAGTACTCAGAAGACTGCTGCTGTGAAATTAGATGAAATAGTGTGTGTGTGTGTGAGTGTGTGGGTGTGTGTGGTGTGTGTGTGTGGTGTGTGTGGTGTGTGTGTGTGGTGTGTGGGTGTGTGTGGTGTGTGTGTGTGGTGTGTGTGTGTGTGTGGTGTGTGGTGTGTGTGTGGTGTGTGGTGTGTGTGGTTGTGTGTGGTGTGGTGTATGTGTGTGTGTGTGTGTGTGTGTGTGTGTGTGTTTCTAAGCTGGAACAGTGCCCAGCACAGTTGTCACTGCACGGACCTCACAGCCAGCCTCTCTCTCTCTCCCCACACAACTCCAAGTTCAGATTGTTTTGTTCAAAGCAAATTGCTGAATTTCAGTTCCATTTGAGAGACAGGAAATAGTGTCGGTGTGTCTCATGGAAAAGGATGAGTCTTATAAATCTGACTTCTTTATTTTTGGGCCTGCATGGGAAATTGTTACTGACAGGAAAATGAAGCGGAATCCGGGGAAAAAAAATACCATAGCATTCCACAGGTGTAGTTAGACTCCCAGCTCAAACTCATGCCGTGGTGATAAGAGAACCCACACACCTCCAACAGAGGGACAGGAAAGGTCCCTGGCTGCTGCTGCTGGCGGGAGGGTTCTGTTCCCAAACCAGGAGTTGTCATGAACTTGGACTGCCAGCCCTGGGAGCAATGTAACAAAGGAGTAAGCTGATCCTGGAAGCTTCTCTGAAGGACAAGCAGGAGCCACATAAAACCGTGGGGACAGGGCGGAGGGGGTGAGGGGAGCTTGGGGAGGGGGGACCAGGCCTCCGGGTGCAGGGGGGGGGGGGCCCCGCTAGCCGGCAGCCCCACAGGAGGGCTTTCCGAACAAAGACTGTGGGCAGCTCCCTGCTGTGCAGTGTCACCGTCCCAGGGGGCGTCAGGCGACAGGAACCTCTCACCGGATGAAATACAAGAAACCTCTCCTTTAAGAGCCATGTTTGTGCCTTGAAAACTATGTCATCTTATTAACGGATGTCTCCCCAGTAGATTCAAGAATGTTTTTTAAAAACACATGTGTAAAATATATTTTAAATAAGTAAAATAAAAACACGTGTAAATTTGTCACTCGGAACTCTGAATGTGTCCCATTGGCAGAGCATCCTGAATGATGGTAGGCCTCCGAGTGAGCGCCCGCCGATGTCTGTCACAGCTGAAACAGTCACATTAACCATGTTTTTTGTTTGTTTTGTTTCTTATAGCTGAATATTTGTGTTTTTTTCATTTCTTTATTGATTAAGGTATCACATATTTGTCCTCAGCTCCCCCCATTCCAACCCTCCACCCTTCCCCACTCATGCCCCCACCCCCCTATTGTCCTTGACCA